TCTTAAGCAAGCCACCCGGTCTCTGATGCTCGTATTTCACCTGCTGACAATTGAGACACCGAACTACAAATCCCACAATGTCCTTCTTCATTCTCCTCCACCAATAATATTGTCTCAGATCCTGATACATCTTCACGACACTAGGATAAATGGAATACACCGAGCTATGGGCCTCGTCCAGAATCAGTTCCCAAAGCCCATCTACATTGGGCACGTATATCTGGCCCTGAATCCTCAATNCAGGCACACATATCCGGCCCTACATCCTCAACACCCCATCACCACCAATAGTCAATCTCTAGCATCATCGTGCCAAACTCTGTCCTTAAGGACAAGCAAATGAGTATCATCATACTGGCACTCTCTGATGCGATCATATAAGGAAGACCGAGAAATCACACAAGCCAATACCCGACTGGGATCCGAAATATCTAACCTCACGAACCGATTGGCCAAGGACTGAACATCAACTGCAAGAGGTCTCTCCCCAACTAGAATATATGCCAAACTCCCCATACTCACTGCCTTTCAGCTCAAAGCATCGGCCACCACATTGGCCTTTCCTGGATGGTACAAGATAGTAATATCATAATCCTTTAGCAACTTCAACCATCTCCGCTGCCTCAAATTGAGATCCTTCTACTTGGACAAGTGCTGGAGGCTACGATGATCAGTAAACACCTCACAAGACACACCATACAAATAATGCCTCCAAATCTTCAACGTGTCAACAATGGCAGCCAACTCCAAATCATGAACAGGGTAGTTCTTCTCATAGGGTTTCAACTGACGAGAAGCATAAGCAATAACTATAACCTTCTGTATTAATACACACCCAATACCAACTCTTGAAGCATCATAATACACGATATATGAACCTGAAGCTAATGGCAAAACTAACACTGGAGCTGTGGTCAAGGCAGTCCTGAGCTTCTGAAAGCTCTCCCCACACTCATCCGACCACCTGAATAGAGCACCCTTTTGAGTCAACAAGGTCAAGGGCGATGCGATAAATGAGAATCTCTGAACAAACCGGCGGTAATAACCTGCCAAACTAAGAAAGCTGCAAATCTTTGTGGCTGAGGACGGTCTGGGACAACTCTGAACTGCCTTTATCTTCTTTGGATCAACCTAAATACCCTCACTGGACACCACGTGCCCCAAGAAAGCCACTGAACCGAGCCAAAACTCACACTTTGAGAATTTTGTGTAAAGTTTCTCCTCCCTCAATCTCTGCAACACAACCCTCAAATGCTCCGCGTGCTCCTCTTGACTACGCGAATACACCAGAATATCATCAATGAAAACTATGACAAACGAATCGAGATAAGGCCTTAAGACATTGTTCATCAAATGTATGAACGCTGCTGGGGCATTGGTCATCTCAAAATACATCATCAAGAACTCATTGACCATATCGGGTCCTGAAAGTTGTCTTAAGAATATCCGAGTCCCTGATCTTCAATTGGTGATAACCTGAACGGAGATCAATCTTGGAGAACACTCTCGCTCCCTAAAGCTGGTCGAACAAATCATTAATACGAGGCAAAGGATACTTGTTCTTAATTGTTACTTTGTTCAACTGCCTATAATCAATGCACATCCTCATAGTGCCATCCTTCTTCTTTACAAATAGAACTGGTGCACCCCAAGGTGACACACTAGGCCAAATGAACCCCTTATCAAGGAGTTCCTGAAGTTGCTCCTTTAACTCCTTCAACTCCGCTGGTGCCATACGATACGGCGGAATAGAAATGGGCTGAGTGCCCGGCACCAGGTCAATACCAAAATCAATATCCCTGTCCNGCGGAATAGAAATGGGCTAAGTGCCCGGCACCAAATCAATACCAAAATCAATATCCCTGTTTGGTGGCATGCCTGGCAGGTCTGCAGGAAATACATAGAGAAAATCCCTCACAACTGGAACAGAATCGATACTGAGAGTCTCTACACCGACATCCCTCTCAAAGGCTAGATACGAAAGACAACCCTTCCCAACCATACGTTGGGCCTTCAAGAATGAGATTACTCTACTGGGAACATAATCAATCGAACCTCGCCACTCAATCCGTGGCACACCCGGCATAGCCAATGTCACTGTCTTAGCATGACATTCCAAAATAGCACGACACGGAGATAGCCAATCCATTCCTAAAATAATACCGAAATCTACCATACATAATAATAAAAGATCCACTCGGGTCTCCAGACCCCCAATAGTCACCACACACGACCAGTACATACGGTCTATAATAATAGTATCGCCCACCGGAGTAGATACATGAACAGGTGAAACAAGAGACTCACGGGGCGTATCCAAATAACGAGCAAAGTATGATGACACATAAGAAAAGGTGGAACCGAGATCAAATATTACAGAAGAATCTCTGTGGCAAACTGAGACAATACCTGTAATAACAGCATCGGAAGCAATAGCATCGGGTCTAGCTGGAAGTGCATAGAAATGG